GATCATAGTAGATATACATGTATTTTGCCGTGTAAAAACAAGTTCTGGTACCTTACGTCACTTACGTGATTTTTCAGTAACCGGCAATACCATAATCTGTATGCTAAAAAGCATTCATCTGCTCATTCATCACAGCCACATAGAGAACGTGACTGTATTACTGATGCACCAGTTTTATAACTTTGTTCACAATGAATGTACAAGAAGATGTCTTCCAAGAAAATCTCTTTGTTTTACCATAATTATATTCTATTTGGAAAGTGTCATATGAACAAAATATGCTTGTTGGCTATAGGTTCTTTTTCCTTCTCCTCCCATCACTATCTACATGTAAGACTAACAGCAGTTTCCAGATGGTATGGATAAGGATGCTTAATAAACTAGACTTCAGCTAGGAATTCTGCTCTTTGGAATATTTGTTTTATGCATAAACATATGCTGGCTATCAACAACTAAAAGCTTCTGTAATTCTAGCAATCAAGACTTTAAAAAAAAAAAAAAAGCTAAGATACATTATGAATCAACATGGATACAAAACCAAAAAAATCCTGTAGCTTTACAACATATGACCTTCTGAGTTACCAAATGTCCTACTGAATGCCACTAGGGAAATTTCAGATGATACCCAGCAATAGTCAGGAACTTTCCGCCAGACTGCAACAGTAATTAACGATACAGAATAAACTATGTGTAGACATGATGAGTACTGGTGGCAGATAAGATGGAAAGTCTAAAGCAGATAACTAGGTACAGTATTAGCTAGTGGCTAGATATAAAACACTATTTTATTAAAAAAAAATCTTAAAAGCCAGTTATTATATGTTTCATTTTTTTATTTTTTAAGATCAATTACTATAAACTCTAAAAACGTACCCTAATTCACTATGATAGTCTATGCCCTGAGAAGTAACATTACACACTATGTAAAAGCCACTAGGAAGTGTCAGGTTTACAATATTCCAAAAGCATAAACTGACTACAAAGAATTTCTTGGAAGCACATATTTCCTCAGTCTTTCAGCAATACGTTGCTTTTTCAGAGGAAAAGCCTACTGAAAGTTAATGCAAATTATAGTTTTCCCAACTTTAACCACTACTTGAAGATTTTCCTTTATTTTTTCTTGTTTGAACTCTTCTGGGCAAACTAGATGGCTTCACAGATAAAGCTCTTGCTTTTCACCTCTGAAAGAGGATCTAGACCTAACATGAGGTACCAAAAAATTGAGCCTGATGAACTCCACTTAAGGACATTAATCAGAGCATTTTTTGGGAGGTAGTCGGAGTTATCTGAATTTTAAATGAGGCCACCTCTCCAACACTTTGCTACATTCTTCTTTGCTGGTTGGAAGAACAGACATGAAGTTTGGAAGGAAACATGCCTCTGCATACATCGGGGAAAAAAAGAAGGAAAATTATCTTGGACAAGGACACTGGCCTTCCTGTGAAACTAACTTGAATGTTAGGTGCATTTAAGAATAGGTGATTTTCCCCTCTCTCTCCCCAGTAAATTCTAAGTGTAAAGAACTCTCATCATCACGAGAGAACAGGACAAACACTATTTAGAATTAACATCTACCTTCCACTTCACTGCTTTTTTCAAAGTCTCTGTAGAAGATGCAGCCCAATAGCCTTTTTTCCCCATCCACTCCAAGTGCGAATATTCCCTTTCTACTAAATCCAAAAAGCTGAGGATCATTCTTCTTATGCAGAAGGCAAAGCAAAACTAAGGAAAAATCCTTGTCCAAAAACTCAATCAAGCCTCTGCAGACTCCCTGCTTAAACTACTCTGTGGTAGTTACATTGTGTTCATTGCATTATACATTATTTTGAAACTGCTTGCTTGCTCAGCTGTCTATAAAGACAAGCCTTTCCAAGACCCTTTGCTTCTGTCCAGCATTATTATACAGTACTGCTCTAAAACTTCACTAATTATCTACTTAGAGTAAACAAGGTCACTCCTGTCCATCAAATCTAGCTGCACATTCTGATTAGGTAGCACTAACACTAAATTTGAAATGCCTGAAACGTCGATTGCAAAACAGAATCTAAACTTTCTCACTATATTAACACTTCGCTTATTTCTCTTAAAACAAGTTCTATATAAGGTAATTAATCAATCAGTATAAACTGATACTTTTCCGCATATTTAAACAACACAAGGATGTTGACAGTATAAAAAATGTGTAAGAAGTCAACAAAACACTTTTAATATGCACGCATGAACAGATTAACAAATATTAATCACAGCAAATACAGGGATGGGTTCCAATACTAACTTTACACTGCCTTGTTATTGTAGCTATTTTTAATGCTGCACATGTTGCTCCAGTGGCTGTAACATCCAAGACGATAACCCAAATCCCAATGCAGTAATAGTTCCCAATGCACGTAACAGCACAGAATTTAACACATTAAAAATGTGATCCTTCTGTTCTTATTTCAGTAGTTTCAAGTTAAATAAAAGATTTCGAGGAACAAATGTATTTCTAGCAACACGAAATCGCTCAAAGACTAATCCACGGAACAAAAATTTTGAATTAATTTAAATGGCACATATTACAGCAAAAGCTAAAATCTGTAAAGATGCTGAACTTTTTGCAAAGATGTAGGTTTAGAGATGTACAAAGTTCGAGGTTCCTTCAGATATAAAGCAAAGAAGGACAGCCTTCTACTCTACAGCTTCAGTAGGATGTTTCCTCCATAAGAACGCTCACTGACTAAGTTAAAATACTCTGCTCTCTAAAGCACAAAATGACTAACACACATTACTTAACACTATGGAGCTGTTCTCAGTAACCTTTATGTATGTTAACTGCCAATGCCCTGAAGATGACTTTTTTAAACTGCTACTTAAGTAATTTAAGAAAAAAAAAGTCACCAAATGAAGCTCTGAACAAACACTGAACGGTTAAACAGATTATATTACAAAGCTCAGCTATATTACAGAGCTCATGTTTCAAGGATATCATACAGTCATGAGCTTAGAATTAATTGGAAATGTATCTTCAGCCTTGTCATATAAGGGGCCTCACATAAGAGGCTTGACAGCTTTGAGAAATTTGGCTACATATTTTCTTCTGTAGTACCTTTTATACTTTCGGGATGAAAAAATTAAAGTTCTCTGTCAACAGTTTACCAAGTACATTTCTTTCAAAATGGCAAACATAACCTGCTGCAACCAGTTTCATTTTTTTTCTTTTTAATGTTTAGTTTCCTGTGTGGCAACCTGGGGCTTCAACCACTTCTTAAATGTAACTATTCTCACTGGATAAAAAAAAGGAGAATGTTTCCATCAGATGGAGGTTTCAAAACCTACACTTTGGAGTCATACTACACCCAGTGTTTTGTAAATGTAATAAATTATTAGCATCATCTCTACTCAGAATTATCAGAATTTTTTCCAGGTATGAAAACATAATGCAACTCTATTCAGCTAAGTAGGATCAAATCATGTATTCACACAAACATGCATAACCCCTACCGACAATCAATAGGAGCTGCACACATCTATTTCAGGGCAGCAGTTTTACCTTAAGTGTTTATGATGGAAGGATTGTCAAATTTGACAGCACAGTATTTCCATGATACAGTTCTAAGAAAGCCAATTAAAACTCCAGATTATAGTCTAGAAAAAAAATATACAATGGATTTCAAGTTAGATTCTGTCCTAACTCTTGCAAGTTCCTCTAAAAATCTCAGTCACTCCAGCGCAAGGAAAAAGAGAGCATTTCTTCCCTTCCGCAATTCAAGTACATTTCTTGTCCTGCCTCCACTTCCCAGGCTGCTTCTTCCTCTAATACTTTTCTGATGAACGGGTAAGTTTTGCAAAGGTTAATGGACAAAACAACTAAGTTACTAAGTAAGCTATGACCAAGAACATGATCCACAACAAAGAACACCAGAGGACTTCACGCTTTCCAGGTACGCACTAGTCATTAATTGGATATCTTTACTTAAATTGACACACGCTATTACATTTGTTTTAATATGTCTTTTGTACACAGAAAACACCCTGCCATCTAGTACGGATGAAAGTCCTTGCTCAAGGTAAGCTCCAGTTCGTACCTGAACCTACCCATTTTTCAAAGGTCAGAGAGACAACGCCATATAACCTAACAATACTCTCATTCCATTCCGACATCTCCTTTCCACATGATTACATTATTCTGTAATTAAAAACAATCAATGAAGAAAGTATTCCAGGGCATCTGCAAACACACAGCCATGTATATCCCCAGCTACACAGAGGCAAGTACGGATCCTCACACAGGCAAAGCTTTGCCCTGAAGATGCTCGAGTCTTACCTAGAAACTATAAACATCAGAGTGTACATTTAGAAATGTCTCTGTTAGCTATTCTGTGGCTGAAATGAGTTTATGAATATACTAAGACCAGAGGTAGTCCATTTTCATTTTGAAATGGAAAGAATAGCTCCTATCCATGCAACCATTTAGAATTGCTGTAATTCCACATGCTTCAAGCACCTTTCTTCTTTTCAAGTGGTAACTTTTTGAGTGGGCTACCTGTTTGTTTCTCCCTCCTTGTTGCTCTCTGCCCAACAGAAACAACAGCTTGAAACTTATCATCATCAAGAGGCACTTTGGGCAAGAGAAACATACAGCCATTTTGGCAAAGGCTTTAGCTTGAATATCTAATCCCCTCGGCAAGTAGTCTCTGTTTTGAACAGAGGTAATGAAGCCATTGCACAAACTTCTACAGCTGCGCAATATTTCTACACTGGGTCTTTGGATCAGCACAATTTCATTAGTGTAAAAGTCCCTTAAATAGGTAAGTTCTAAGGAAATTATAAAATAATCCATTCATGTTTAATTCCATTGGAATAGAAATTTGCACATCAGATTCCCTTAACATTTACACAGTTATGTAAACGGAGGTGTAAAGTTGGAGAAGAAGTGCTGAAATAAGGGTCAAAAAAAAAAAAAAAAACCCAAACCCACCCAAAACAACCAACCAAACAAAAAAAACCCCAACAACAGCAAAACTCCAAAAAACTGAAGCCCTGAAAAAGGAAAAAAGGGAAGAGAGCTCCCTCCTGCCTTTTTTAAAACTGCATAGTTTCAATGACCAATCAACAGAATTACTTTTTGCCCCATCATCTATTGGACTTGCACAGTCTTGGTTCATGTACAACTTTTAAATATGTGATTTAGTAGGCTGAAATTCTGTAGTGTACACAATACATTCAGAAATATGTATCAAGTGTCATTAACTCTGGATTGTTGAGGTAAAATAAATAAATAAATACAGAGTACGAAATGAACATAAAGACGTCTGTTCAAAGAAAAATGTTTCCAATATAGTTCTGGCTGTGAATGTGTGTGCACGCATGTAACAAGGAAGAAAATTAGTTCATTTTCCTGCATGTGCTTTTAAGAATTTTAACTTCATAGACTTTCATATCAAACCTCTGTGACAACTAACAAGCAAAAAAAAAAATCCAAATTACAATAATAGAAAGCATGACTCCAATACTGTTAATGGAAACTGGAAGAAGAAACATTGCAGTCTGGTCTTCTACGAAAGATTATTAATACAAAAGTAATAGCCCTCACTGAATAAAGCCTGAACCCAATAAGCTTTTGTAAGATACCAGCAGGATCTACTACAGTGAAGAACAACAACCTGGAAACAGGTTAAGCTGATGCTGACAGATGCTCCTATTTCTTTTGCAGACACTCCACCTGTTTCAAAAACATTTCAGACTTTTTTTCTTTAAGCCAAATTATTCAGAGTCCATCTTAATACAGAAGTTAAAAAATAGAAGAGAAGTATAATAGGAAGCTGCCACAAGTTGAAAGAGGGTGACTTTTTAAAAGGATTAAAGAATAGCAAACTGCATATGCCTAGTAACATGGTATGCCAGCTCTTTAATAAATAAAGTGACAGACATCTACTCTGAATACGAACTGTAGCACTGACCATTAAAAGAGTGAGAACCACATGGTTAGCTAACACTTGCAAACAAGACATGCATTTGTGTCTGAAAAGAGAATATTGCACTAAAAGAAGAACCCTGCAGGCTTTGAACTTTTCCTTCACTGACCTAAAAAAGTAACTAACCATTTTCTATATGCAGTAGCAAATCTGATTTGTTCCACGTCTCTACAGGTTGATAAAACTTTGTCAATGAACCTGTACTCCATTTCTGGGCCAAGAGAGTCCTGCACAGGGGCACGCTTCAGACGTTTTGTTTCTTGGGTATAACCTTGCTTGCTGCTGCATTCATTCAAACCATCAACATCCATAGCTTGTGCCAAGTGACTGGTCGCAGGACTGGGTTGTGAATTATTCAAAGTTTCTTCACTGCTGTCCCCAGATGACAATACCATATTTAGAAGAGGAATTTTGTTGCTTAGGTGGTGCTGAAGGTAGAACACACGCCTCCTTCAGAGGGGAAAAAAAAGGAAGAAAAAAAAGTCACATACTGAAAATAATCCACTGCTGTTGCTGAACATATTTACATTACATTTCAGTTTGCCACCCACCAAATTTCCCCCCACACACAGTAAACCCCAGCTTATTGAAAGTGGATAGAGAGTATGCCAACTTCAAGTTTAACAAAGGGAAATGAATCCTGGCACTTCTCTATGTCTATCTCAGTGGTGGTATCAGAGGCATCAGCAGTATCAGAGTGCCTATCTCATCCAACCAGTAGTATCTCAAACACCTTTTAAGGAACTGTAAAATTTACTCCTTTCCCTTCCAAATAAACATCACTGCATAAAATCTGCTACCACAGCTCACATTCTACACCATGCACTGCGTTACTTTATGCAGGGGTGAAGATAAGCTGCACAGGCAATGGAGAGGGACACATGCTGTTGCTGTTTGTGTTACATTGGTTCCAAAGCTGAACAAGAAGATACCTTCTCTATCTCCGGAACAGAGCTTAATATAGGAACTTCAAAAACATTATGCATCATGTACAGACTCCTGCTATCTCAGTGCACTTGTAACCCCATTGTGTGTCTGATCTCATTGTTTTAATCTCTGACTGAAAGCTGTATCAAAAAGTACAGATGTTCCGGCACCAGAAGTCCTCAGTGCAGCCCCTCTGTTCAGCCTAGACAACACTTGTCAGAGAAACAGAGATTTAACTGGGAAAAGCAACTGTTGCATGTATATAATAGCTATTCTCCCTCAAAGTGTCTTTATTTAAAAGACAGTGGAAACGTGATCCTGTAAATGACTAGTCCTGAATTTTAAGAAACAGAACAGATTTTGTACTTGGAAAAGGTACCAAACCACCTCATGCAACATACATCTTGTATAGCAGCTTTGGCTACTGTATCGGCACACATCCACTCTGTCCAGTTATGTTTTCTCACTATGCTTTCAGAGTGAGCCAGGCCTCTCCTAGGTAACAAAATACTGCACACTGCACTGAGAGAGAGAGAGAGGATCAAACACAAAAGTATTTTATATATTCATTCATTTTGGTCGAATGAATACACTTTGACAATGCTGCTGTCACCCAGTCAGGCAATACAGCGGTTTTCTGCAGTTGATCCATCTTTTGTCCATCTTTTGCCCTTTTAAAAATTAAACATGAGGAGGTTGATTAACAGTAAGGATGTCTCTGGCACCAACTGCCCTCTAGAGGGACACGTAGAGCTTATGCTTACAAGGTGCTTAAGCCCAATCAAACTTGCCATTCAATAGTTCTGGAAAAGGTTCAAGAGAAAAATCAAAGGCTCAGGACGTGTTCGTTTAGAAGTCTTTTACTGAGCAATACCTTTTAAGTTCAGAACTTCTCTGGAAACATTAGCCAAGAACGATCCAATAATCAGAACAATACTCTGTTGATCAAGTCCTCTTACCTATGACACCACAAAGTTTCATGACCTGGGTAAGTATCAATCAAATCAGTGCAGAGTTCTAATTCTTCCTCTAAACGACGGGGGAGATCCGTGCTCTGTTCTTCTGCACAGGCAGCCTCTGCCCCTTCACTTTCCTCCTTCTTTTGAAGGCTAGGGTTTTGCTCTTTTACCATTTGTTTTTGTATCAGTATATCATTGTCAGGCACAGTTCTGCCTATCAAGGACTTCAGTAAGAACTGCCGGTAATGAAATCCACTATGGTCTGAAACATGCGTGGACACCCAATATTTAGTGGAAGAAAGTTCATCAAGAAGAAGCTGAAACAAAAAATAGCAACAGTTATAAAAATATTATACCAGAGGAATTTATCAATACTTTTCTAGACTGACATTATCTGTCCTTTGGAGTTTCTCAGAACTTACAGTCACTGTGATGCTTTTAGAACAAACACGTTTTAGAAAAATGAAATAACCCATCATCCTTTTCCACTGTGTCCTGACAGATACCTACCTAGGCATCCCTGAATAAAGCACTTATATTTCTCCAAACCCTGAAAAGGTAGCAGTCTCAGAAAATTTCCCATACGATCAAGAAAAAAATACTTACGAGAAGGAAGAGGTACTGGTTTAAAATCTCAAAGTGGCTAGGAATAAAGATTCTTTCGAGAGAGGCAGAAGGTACACCAAACTACATGGAAGATATCAGGTAAAGCATTTTAAGTTTTGCCTAGTGAATGACGTGTGTGAGAGGGCAGGGGTTGTTAAAAAAAATATTAAGAGATTTAAAGTAACTTATACTTTCATTTTCCAGGAAAGAATTTAAACTTCTAACATTGTGTTTTCAGTCCTAGAACTTGTGGAATACAAGATTGTATGTCTGGAACTACATTGCTTGACTTAAAATAGCTAAGGGGTAAACTCCCAGAAAGGCTTTCAAATGAACTGTGAAGAATTCATGCAGTGTTAGGTGCAGCTGCATTTATAATGTATCTTCGTTCTAAATTTTTCAATTTTCAGAATAACAACAATTTATTTCCAGGAAGATACACAAGTCTGGCTACTGGACAAAGCCTATTTTACTTTACTTTCTCTTACAAAGCCTATTTTACTTTACTTTCTCTTACTAGAGCTAATGGATGTACTATTTAAAGGACCTAACCTCTTTCCTGATATTGATCCTCCTCCTCAGCGAAGAGTTGAAGACTGTACCCTTTTTGTTTACTTCTAGGGACTCTGGATATAACCTTACTGGCATATTCTCCATTTTCATCACTTTTTCTAAGCTCCTTCACTTAATAGGTTTGATTCATACAAAGAACATTTCATAGGTAGAAGTACTTCTTTTCTTCTCCTGAGCACAAAAGAGAGCCTCCTGGAAATAAAATCATGGATATGCACAAGGCTATCTATATACTTCTTTCTCTGCATATCCATGCTAAAAGGTATTAGAGCGAATGCAAACAGTATAAATAGCATCTTCTACCTGAAAAACTCAGCCAGCTTTCTTTGTCTCGGCAAGAGAGAAAATTAAAATTAAGCACAGCACAGTCTTAATTTTACATAGCAGCAAACTGATGCTCACTATCAAATAAGACACCACATACGGTCTCTTAAGGAAGCCAAAAATCTCCATTTTCAGTCCTGCACTTTAAACCATGTGACCAGCTTCTCTCTTCCCAACAGATCTGAAGTTAGAATCTTAAATTACTGAATACCACTATTTTAAGATTCTACTAAAAACAACATAAGGCTCAACGGGTATATGAGAAAAATCAAACAAGCCTTTATTCAGCTGGAATTGATGCTGAACACATAACGTGCAATTTAGATCCTGGAATTATCCGATACATGTAACTGACATGTTTTAAGCTACAAAGTTAAACTGCAGCATTGTGATTTTAATTACCTGTATAAAACAGAGTAAAGGATTCCCAGCAGCATCCCTTATCTGAACTAGAACACCTTTAGAAATGCACGATAGAAGACTTCCATCAAATCTCTTGAGATCTATTATTAAAACAAAAAGGCTCTCCCTCTAGGGACCTCAGAGATTCAGTAACAGTGAAAGATGCTTTGAAGAACTGAAGGTTAAAAAAAAAAAAAAAAGCCAACTAATGGCTGACTTCCATTTAAAATGCCATTTTTGGAGTGTGTGTGGGGGGGAAGTTAAACCAACATAGTTATCACCATTTCAACACCAAACACAGCAACTCCTTTGTTATTTTTCCATGAATCAAAGAGGAAATAACATGAAAACATCTCCCTCTCCATTACCGATAACTCTCCCAAGGACCCTCTTTATATTAAGTGGCAAACAGAGTATAACAGAATTCGTATCCTACTGGAAAGCGCACTAAGCATGTGCCAACTTTCTCCCTCAAACCTCTGGATTTCCATTCCCTCTTATATCCTCCTTCCCTCTCTCCCTTTCTTTTTTAATATGGTAACCACCATGAACTGTAGCCTAAAACTTCCTCCTCAGTCTGGGACAATGGGGAAATGAAAAGGGAGTCCAGTCGGGGAAAAACGTTCACAAGAATAATGAGATAAATAGGCCAGCCTCCTCTCACATAAAAATCAGTCATTCCAGCAAAAGTAAAGGCCTTACTAGGAACGACTACAGGAAAAAACTTACTTTATATCTTATGGCAAACTTAGGTGTTCTGGGTAGCTCACAAGATGAGGTGTTGCCTTAGTTTGAAATAGATAATAAAACTTATCTTAGACTATTTCCCTCTAAAAAAACCTTTTTTTACATTCTTGCTGAAGTATACCCTGTTTTGTCACTGACCAGTTTCTCCAACCTGTCAAGAGGGGCTTGAACTTTCAGAGACTACATTGATACTACTCTCTTAATTCTGGTTCTCCAAGCACCCACAGGTTAGTATGCTCTTCCAGACCATGTTTCCCCTATTAGCTAAAGGCACTGTCATGTGAGACAATGTAAAAACTTAAAAGGAGAAAAAACTGGACTTCAGTTATGAAGCACATACTCAAATAACAGGAGGAGTAGGTTGATTTGGAGTAATTCATTCTTGACAAACACAAATTAAATATTAAGACTACTCAAAAACTATGTAAAACTGCTAATATGGTTCAAATAATGCAGGAAAAAACAAGTTGAGAAATAAGACAGAACACTTTTTACTATATAGTGTAAGAGTTAGGAAACATTTGCATTTTCTAAGAAAAATCTTCACACGAGGCCAAACTTTCTCCTCCTGTTATTTCACATATTTTTGCTAGAGGAAGAGTCCCACCTGATTTGAACTGAGCTGCAAACTGTTTTAGTTCCAGAACTACTAGGATTACAAAACCAAAGGTACAAAACCCCTCAAGCAACCTCCAGAAATAAACTAAAAAGCAAAAAGCTTGCCTTTAAAGCAATCTGACAGTTTTATAATTGATAAACCTGTTTTGAGAAGTTTCAATAACAATACTACATATGCATTATTTTGGGGGGCATCTATTTTGTTGTACACTTATAATAAACAATGCCTAAAAAAAGAAAAAAAAGACTATAAGCAAAGTCTGCATGCTAGCAAACACAGACTTAAATAATACAAGGTCCTCTAATTTGAGGCAAACTTCGAGGAACTAAAAGGTTGAAGAATCGGGGTAATTGTTTTACCAACTGAATTTTTTCATCACAGGTCTAGTTTTTCATCTCAAGGACATTTACAGTTATTTTCAGATATTCAGACACACAACTGGCTGATGACCCAAAATGAGACATTACGGAAGAAGAAATCCTATTTTTGTGAAAACTTGTTGTGTTTTTTTTTCCTGCTTTCCTTAATTTTTTTTTCTTTCCCATATCAAATCTGGCAAATACTCACCTTCTAATTCTGTCTTTTAAAGTTCCCTAGAAAAAAATAGTATCTTAAAATTATCAACAAAATTTTCATCTTTGATGTTCTACACTGTTTCCTAGCTTTCCTGCATCCCAAGCAAATATTACAAGGTTATCTGAGGAGATGCACCAGTTGTCATGGAAGAATGTGGAATCAACATGGAGGATCTTCCCAATGGGTTAAACACACTGTTCCACGAGCAGCGGCACAAACGAAATACTGCCAAAGGCAGTTGGATGAAAACAGACAGTACAATCACTTCCTTGGCAACTAAGCTAAAAAGGACATCAGTAGGGGAACTGGGACGGCTGCCAAGGCAGACAGACTTGGGAGTGATCTAACAAATTTAAAACATTTCCTTCACAGCCGTGCTTGGGACTTGTCATCACATAAAGCATTCACATTTGCCAATGAATAAAACTACCAGATAAATTCTGACTCTGAGAACAGTTACTTCTATCAAGTCACAATTCTTCCCATTCATTTAAAATATTAAAGAACAGCAGATGCCAAGAGCACTCAAGGTGCTGTCCTCGCCTTCAAACTACTTTCAACTAAAAGATAAAACAATTGAATTTTAATTAATCGTGCTAACATTTTTTCTGTCACCTTTTTTTCCTTTTTAATAGAGCTATCAAATATTAATGTGAAAGTCCCCATTTCATACAAATAGATCTCTGACCCCTGATTTCTAACCTCTGATCTAGCTCAGTCCTCTAATTCTTCTGAATTTTTCATAATTACCTTTTCACACAAACTTACTTTGTCGATGGGATGCAATTCTGGGCTGTCTCTGTCAGAGTTGGGAACATACTTTCCATTTACAACTTAACTCATAGCGTTATTTTTAATGTTTGTCAGGTAACAATTAACAGAAAACATCAGCAAAATAACACCCATTCGTAGCTGCAGCCGGCCCATAACACAAAAATAATGGCTCTACAGACTCAACGACTGCCTATAAATCCTCCTTTATTCCCACTACATATTTATACAATGGCAAAAAGCAACGACTTCTGTTGAAAGTGTGAGTGATGGTCTTAGCCTAATATAAACAGTGAATTTACCTAACAGCTTAGAAACTGCAATATTATAAAACTGCCTTTGTAATTTTAGATCATGTCACACCAATTAATTCTATTTGCAATGGGCGTCTGAATGTTTCAGACACTATCGTGTGACTTGAAATTTTTCCCAAGCTGAAGCTGAAATAGCCTATTTGATCAGCACTCAGTATAAGCTCTGCCAAAAGATGCTTTTGGAGCTGAAGAAACCAGTAACAAACACAATTACAATTTCTCTAAAATTCCTACAGTTTTTTCTTAACATTCAATATTCTGACACCATAAAGAAGCAGAATAAAGGTAGGACAACAAGAAATCACATTACATTATGCAAATAGTATTGGTCACATATTGTCTTTTTATTCTATTAGGAACTTCAAGTTTAGCACTAGAGACTTAATGTTCAGTTGTACATTCTTTGTTTCGGCTCCCAGAGTCCTATCTACCATCTACCAATTCATTACGATAAGTACCAACAGCTGGACAGAAGCTACATTGGCAAGAAAAATCCAAAATATCACTAACTGATACAGTATTTCACCTACCCTTTTTAAAATTCCTATCCATCTGTGCTGAGTTAAAATGATACTCTCCTTCCATATCATAGATCTGTTTGGGAAACCATTTTTTTAAACAAAAACTTAAAACGTCATTCATTATTATATTATACCTTGACAGTCAGCTTTCCCAAGTGCTGCAAAACCCAGATGCGATGGGACCAGGCATTGTAGTTGCTTGGATATCTCCCAGCAGCTTCAGAGCAGACATCCATTTCCTCCTGCACTAGTCGGTGAATTCTCTCCACAGGTGCTGCTCCCAAGTTTCCTTTAGTCACAAGAGTGGGCAAGGAGTTTTCCTGAATTAGTTGTTGCAGCACCCATCGTCTGGTTAAAGGGTGTACAGCGTCAATGATGTGAGCGGAATTTTAAGAAAAAAAAGTTTTTTCATTTATATTGATCAAGCAAGCTTTACTGAGATTTCCTTTATTTGAGCTAAGCTGCAACTAGAAGCTGAACAAAAAGGAAGTAAACATAACCATCTGAGCTATTCCTATATTGAAAGCTATCGCTTTACAATCACATTCCACAGTAGTCTACACTTCTAGCTGTATTTCTGTTTGTTCACTCAAAGTTGTCACAGCTACTTACAGCATACTAAAAGAAAAGGAAATAGCATATTTAGGAAAAACACTGCTAGAACTGGCTGCATGAGATTTCTGACAGGTGCCCCTCTTTCAGAAACTTCTGTAGCACTGAAATGAAGTTTAAAAAAAATAGTCAGAAAAAGTAGTTCAATAAAAATATTTAACTGCACATCGTGTATAGTTTTTCAGTACTGCTCACAGCAAGCAAAATTAGCTCCTGTACATGAACAACAGAAAGAAAGTGCAACAAAACCGAAGATTTTAAGGGTTATGGGCATTAACGGAACAAATATTTTTACACTGAATTGTACACATTTGATCTGAAGTCACTGAGACAAACAGTGATTCCTATATGGCTTTTTATTTTGGATTATTTTTAGCTGAATTTTTAAATGAGAACTGTACTTTGAGAGGTGCCTTCAATACTGCAGAAAGTGTATATCTCCAAACTCATTACAAAACTATAAAGGACTGCAGCCAAGGGACCCCAGCCATTAAGACTTTCATGCAGTAGCATATGTTAAGAAAACAGCCACAGGACCACAAGGAATGCTCTGGAAAGCTGAACATTCTTTGGACTTTGATATGTTTTTTTTTCCATTTTGTACTGGCTCACAGCACTTTCAAGAGCCGCTAACAGCTACTTCTAGAAAGATGGCAACCTTTAGAAAAAAAATGTCGACATTAAGATTAATTAAATTTAAAACATTTTTGGTACTCCATCTGCTTTGTCTCTTTTTTGAAAAGATGTATAATACTACTGTTTGTTAGCATTATTATATATTTTATTTATAGAGTATTTTTATTACAGTTATTTTAAGAAAGATTTAAACTACTGGAAGACAATAGTGAGTATAATTTACAAGGATGTAATTTTTAAATTGACTGGGAGTCTCAGCAGAAATACAAAGCAGTGGATTAAACCCGCATTCATACACTAGACTCCTATATAACAGTCACTTGAACAGTTTTGGCTGATAGACAGCCAAACAAATCATGCTCTTTGACTGCTATATGACTTTACTTTCTGAAATGAAGTGTAGTAATTTTGCAAACTTAATTTTTGCCCTTTAAACATGTCTTTGATCCTAACTTGACCACTTAGTATTTTTGGACTTCAATCAGCAGATATGCAAGAAATGGGAAATTCTAAGAACATTTAAGCAGGAAATCTAAACGAGCAGAAAGTCATTCTTTGAAAAAAGGATAAATATTTTTTCATTAATATTGATTTCTTGGTAAAATCATATACTAAAAGAGACAATGAAAGATTATTTTAATCCTAAAATTACTTGTTTCTTAAAACAAGGGTTTTTTTTTAAATAAACAAGGAATTTGGATAAATGAAAAATACAGCAGTATGTGAAAAAATACAGACTTCACAGTCTCCAGTTATGACAAAAAATATAGCATCAAGTCTGAGCTACTTTCTAGACTTTTTAGGAGAAAAAAGAAAGTCAAGAAGAGGAGAAAAGCAAGTCAAGCACTATCTCAGAAGATCTACATCTTCAAAAAATCTATATCTTTGGTACCTACTGAATATCATTGTCTTATTTCAGAGGTTTTAAAGAGATTTTTTGCTCTAATAAACTTGGAGAAAAGAAATGTCTGATTTTTCTTCCACAGTATACATGTTCCTGTCACTATTACTTAAGGTAAAACATGCTTGAAAAATCTCTTGCTCAGGCAAAATACATCTGAGAGGTTCAGCTCCTGGAATTACAGTGAATGAAAAAAGGATTACTTGACGACAATTGTGCAATGAGTAGACATACTGACCATATATGTACAGGATCTATACGAAACTTCCAAAAAGTTATGAAATGAGTTACAAAATGCAAGGCAAAATGCATATGGCAAACTTTGTGACAGATCTTTTGACAGCGATAGTGAGTGTGTATGCCATGAATAAGAAAAGAGTTTTCAATACCTTTTATTGAACTCAATTGCTCCATTCAACTTTTTTTGCAGTTCTGTCTGCAATTTGGTAGCACATGGTGACAAAAAATACTACATAGACCACTACAATCATGCAGAAAGAAACATCTTGCATATCTTGTTTTCTAACATGCACTGCTAATCATGTTCAGGACAACCAAATCTGAACCAAACATTTGTAAAATCCATTCTCAAATCCACTTTTATATTTTGATCAAATATGAGAAAGAATAGCTAATTCCCATGGGAGAAAAATATTCTTATTTTAAGATTGTATGGAACTTACAGACAGAAATTTGCACTATTTCTAAGATGTAAAGATATATTGAGAACTTACAATTCTTATTCATTTCATAAGAATGTATTGTTCATCAAAATATACCCATAGCACCAGGAGTTACATGCTGCAATAAGTTTTCTAATGTTAGCTACCATGCAGGTAGGGCTAACCCATGGCAAACGGTAAGATTGTTTTCCTTCATTATTTCTACATGCTCTTTTTGCTCCCTACAGTGCAGCCAGGCAGTGCAAATAAGTTGGAGAGGATGAAAAGCAGTTGGAGAACAATAAAATAAAAAGTTAAGATGGCAAAAATTTATTAACTTTGTTGCTGTACCAACACTACTAAGACAGAAATTAATAGAAATTATGTGGTGCTTATGAGGTAAATAAAACTTAGTAATATACAATGTATTACATTTATGTTAAAATTCAGAATTTTTGTCCATGCACACATAAAGAAGAGTTCACCAATAACTCCTACTTCCAAAAATTTGCATGCTATCAGTAAGACTGAAACTTTACTTTATCCTTAGTAAAGCCCGAATCTCTTAATGGGGTATCTACTTTATGGCTGTTTTAACACAAAGCACACAAAATGTAAACATTGTGAACTGCTTTCTAATGTATTGCATTTAAATCTCCAGTCTAAAAGAAGGATGCAATATCTTGTTAAGATATACATAAAAAGAAAGCATATACCAAGAATTTTTATTACAAAGTAGAACAATGTATCTATACTTTACTCATTTGTCCTCCAGGTATTTTATATACATTTAATCACAACTGACACAGCCTCTTGCATTTGAGCAATAATGGAGTTATCTTTTGAAAAAACGTGCTTTGTTATTTTAATGATTACTAACAGTGACTTAAAGACATTGCATAAGTTAGACATGACAAAAATAAATTCACCAAGGCAAAAAGTCCATAATGGAATCGAAAAGAGCCCAACTTCAGTTACAGACATTGTCTTACAGTTTCTTGTCTTTCTGGAATGCCTGTAAGCAAGCAATATGGTACTAAATTGGTGGGGAAAAAACAACAATGCTCAAATAGTGTTATTTGAATCAGAATTCTCAAATTGAGAACTTTAGGTTCTGCAAGAAACGATAAACCTGTAGGAAAAGTAAACCTCCCCTCCAAAGTTGTTTTAAAAACATGCAATATGAAAAGGTGTAAATGATTTTAAGTCTAAAATATAGGGGAGTGTCTTCAAACGCCAAAACATTCAATTTTATGACTAGATCAAAGAATCTGCTATATTTCTAGATGTTCCTCATCTATCACTCTCCTTAACAGAAGGAAAACTGGGAAAAAGGTTTAAATCTTAGGAGATAATACAAGGTAACAGAAACAAACCTATGAATCCACGTTTCTGGGCTCTTTGGAAACTTGGTTAACGCCAGTTTTCCAAGATGCAGATCTTTAAGTGGATTTAAAGTGCCAGACAGTATTAATTCTTTCCTACAAAAGACAAAATAAGTTTGTATAAATAAAAGATGTAACCTGAAAACAAAAGACAAATCCCACTTACATATAGAATGGCATTTCCTTTGTAGTGTAATATAACTTCACTGTCAAACCACAAGACTTTAAAAAGCCATCAGTGGATTAACCTATTCCATTCCACTATATCAAGCACACCCTATTTAACCAGGCCCCAAAAAAATAAACTCAAATAAAGGAAAGGTATCTTTACCTGAACATACACAACCTTTTTGTTCCCAAACCTAACAAAAAAGCATCAGGAGAGTCAACTATAGTTGAGTATGTGTATTATCTGCATATTCTAAAAGCACCTCAATAACACAAGCTATCTTTTTGGGGGTAAACAATCTGAATAGAGGATGGCATATGTGACTAAATATTACTTGAAAGGAAGCCCTTAGGTCACACTGTACACCTGAAACACAGTCATTCTTCCATGCAGCCTCTTCCTTCCTCCCTCCCTTTTTTTCCTTCCACATACAGTTTTAAAGTATGGTATCAAGGATCCTTTAAATTTAGAGGAAGAGGAAATATGTTTAAAGCACGTAGAATGTTTTAAACTTTACCAGAAAGGTAAGTGTACTTACAAGTGAAACATAACTTCTGGTTTAAAAAAAAAACAAAGGCTTTTCCCTAATAACACTTAATGTTAATCCAGTACTGATTTATCAAAGTCAAAAGTCTGTATTTCCTATTTTTTTGCCTTTTTTTTTTTGCATGAAATTCCCTGTCCTACATCCTGTTTGTCTTCCTAGCTTAATTTAAAACTCTTACTGCCCTTCCCATTTTAGACACTCTCCTGTCATTGCGTGTTCCAAAAACATTAATCTCCATGCTCCATTCTCCAATCTAACAGACAGCTACTGTGAAATGAAAATGAGAGCTGGTACAGTAAATTCCAAAGTTACCATCTGTAGATAGGGAATACAGAATTCCCAGAACCTCCAGAAGTCACAATGAAAAACTGAGAATGCAGACAGTAGAGGTAATATTTTTTTTTTGAGGGAGGACAAAGCAATAGAGGTGAAGAGGAAATGACAGATATTCTTACAAAAAATGGGGGGAGGGGAGGAAGGGGGAGAAATACACTCTGTGAAAGAAGCTGCTTTCCACGAAGAAGTTGAAATTTCTCTACAGTATGAAATAAAACATGCAAAAGTCATGAACTGAGCTACACACATAAATTGAAATAGTCCTTTGATGTGAACATTTACTGACATTATCTGTCTGTTTTAGACAGCTGTGCAGGGCTCATTCATTTGTTTTTCACTAGGAAATCAACCCACTCTGTTAGGTTTAGCTTTGCATTGCTTTAATTGAACTATCACTGACCCACTGACCCAGAAGCTGATGGTGGCAACCTTAAGATTAAGCAACACATTATTTCAATGCAAAGGAAATGGTTACATGTATACAATGCCTTTATTGACTGAAAGGTGATCCCAGAGAACACAGGAGGGCAGTAGCCTATACTCGTTTGTCACTTCTGAATGAACGGTTGAACAAACCCACAAGGAGGTTTTGCTCCTGATCTCTAGCAAAGTCACTAGAAAACTGTCTAAAAAGATCAGAAAACATAGTTACTGCGACATTTGTCTTCATCTGAATCAAGTCCCAGTAGACATCGGATTGCATGTTTTTATTAGGCGCACAATAGGTACCCAGGTACCTGCACCCAGGTATCAGTCAGGAATGGCAGATTGGCCAGACTGGTCAGGCATCGTATAGCTTCTTGTGCCTTGCCTTTGCAAAACAGCTTAGAGGAAGACTCAGGGAATAGAAGTACTGGGGGAGGAGGAAAGAACTGGCTCATTACTGCAATGCAAAAGGTGACATTTTGCTAAGTCACTGACCACACGTATGAAGAAAAAGTGGCCTGCATCACTCTAATATTCAAAATAAAAGCATGTACATATTTAACAAAGATTTATATTACCAGGCCAGCTACCTCTAAAGATGTAAACTCTTGGTGGGAATACCAATATGTATTATCTGATAATAGGCTCACATGTATTTACTCTTCAGCTTTCCAAAACTCAGAGCAAATTTAGGAACATTACAGACAAGATTCAGTTGAATCTGCAGCAGCAAAGCAGCAGAAAAGCAGTTTTGAAACTGCAGCAGAAAAGCAGTTTTCAGCTTCACAGATTTTCAAACATAAGATCCTCCCACCCACAAGTAAGGGGGTTCAGGCACTGGCACGACTAAAGATTAGATACCCCCAAATAAAACTGTTTCAAGCTCTTTAAGCAAACATCTAACTTGGCATTTATAGCTTCCACCTCCCTTTTTGCCGTTGGAAGCACAGATAATTTTTCAGCCTTCAGAAGTGTGTAGAAGATAATGTGACGTGCTTTTCAATTGCCTTGACTTTTCACTGACATTTTTTAAGTCATTGATATCTTACGGGAAAATGTTTGACTTTCAGAGCTTCTTGTTATCTGCTGTCCCTTAACTTTTGATCAATTGTACGTTTCAGCAAGTATCAACAAGAAATATCATAAATGCAGTTCTCTGCATGCATTTCTGTGAGAATTCCTTCACAATCACTTACATAAAGATTTTGGTCATTTTTGCTTGGAAGATTTTTCAACTTCCAAAAACAGAAGGTAACCAAAATCACAATAAGTGGCTGCAAATGTTTTCTCCTCTTGTTGCCCGTTCAGTAGAGACAGGATATTTTGCTGACTAAGCAATATTTTCTATTTCTGCCTCTGTCCCATGTGGCTGTGAAGTACCCTCTAAGTTCTAAGCAAAATTACATGTCTTACATTCCTTAGCATGCTTTGTTATGCCGTACAACTAGTTCTTGCTCAGTTCTCCTGGGTCAGGTTATATTTGCTGCCCTCCTACGCCTTCCCAGTTCCTTTTAGTTAAAATAAATAAATAAATACACAAACCTTTGCAGGCATAGATTTTAGGTAATTACGAGTGTTTAGACAAAGTCAAGATACATTATCTGCTCCTAGCAGGCAACACAGTCTAAGTTTTACCTTCCACTGTGTATCGTTAACCAAGTAAAACCTCCTGTGTTTAAGTGCTCATTAGCCGTCCACTTTTTTATTGTATTCTGGCCTCCTTGCTCTACTGAGTCCCCTCTCCTCGCCTATGAAGAGATTTCATTTTCCCACTTTCAGATAACTCTTTTCCCCTCTCTCCAAACTCAGTGCTGTTGGGTCAGGTGCTAACTGTGAAGCTCTCAGCAATAAACATCTAGCAGAGAATTCAACACAGGACACAGCGATTATCTCAGCCTAAAATAAAACAATACTATACAGGCAGCACTCTACAGGAAGGGCTGCTGTTATAAAAGCTTGGTAAATAATTATTACCCTTTTTTATTTTTTAGGCTTCCTAGAGTCCATGACACTTTTTTCCCCTCCAGAAAAAACAAGGAACTTGTCTGTAGAGAATGTAAGACAGATGTAGTGCAACAAAGACCTTCAGCAAGATGAAAACAATCATTTCACTGCAAGCAGAGTGCAAATTGCACACAATTATGCTCTCAGCTTATTCTAACTCACTGTAAGGTCATGCCTTGAATATTCATGTGGAACATAGTCTATCTTCTACTCTATGACCCTGTATGCCAGACATATCTGTAATCTGGTGACAAATAGCGTCTGGCAGATATTTCATAGGACAGGAGAATAGGCAATGCTGTGATTCAGCTGAGGTCATGCCACTTAACGGTGCCTAGCCTTCAAAAGAGCCAACTCTCAGCAGCAGCTAAACCAGTATACGTTTAGATTCAGCTACCCTAACTTTGGTTAAGGTAGACTAAAATGGTACCTCCCACAGCTGTTGATGAATGGCTGATACAACAGCAGGTTCTCTCTGAACACTATACAGCTGCTTCAAAGACACTTTAAATGTCACAGAACAAAAAACAGTCCTCACTTCTATTCCTAAATACTTTTATTCCATGTGCAACTTCAAGTTATTCATCTCATGTATGTCCTAAAAAATTTCTCAGGTGTCAAGTAAAAAAAAAAAAAAGTACTAATAAGGGTAGATATATAGTGGAAGCATTTCCATTCAAAAAAAAAACAGAACTAAAACAAAAACCTGGATTCAGTTTTAAATATCAACAAGATAACATTGTTACAGCAGCTCCAGTGTTTACACATGCTGATAATTTCATTTCATCACTTGAAAGCTACTCAAGGATACACTTTTTTCATGATAGGAAGTTCTGTGTTATCAACTTCATACCCCTTTTCTTAGACCTGAGACAACTGAAAAATCAGGTCACTGTAGAATCCTTGGGAACTACATCAGCGGTGAAAGAAAAGAGATGCATTTGGCATATCTAGGGCCGATGGCTTCCCAGAGACACCATCCTTCTAGATCCTTTTGTTCATTTTTCCTACTGCAGTAGAGCATCTTACCGACAAAGAGTTTATTTTTAACATTGAGAACCATTCCAGACACTAAGATACAATTTCCTGCCAACCCTCCAACCCCTCTAAAAATACTCTTTTAAGACTGTCCCTAACCTTTACCTATGCAGGAGAGAGCTAATGTTTCCTTACCTGTGTGCGCTACACAAAAATAAGCTGCTGTTACTGCAATTACAAGGTTGTGAAAAACATGCTTCTGGGCATGGGCAAAAGCAGGAAAATAAATTCCTCCTCCACTCCTGCTCCTCCTCCATAAAGACTCCTGAACAGCAAGGTGCTGCAGCATGAGCAATAGTAAAGCTAGACTAACCCCAAGAGGTACCAAAAAAAAGGGGGGGGGGGCAGATGCCAGGGTAAAGCGATGCTATCTTCCTCCCCTTTTTTCACAATATGTCTACATGGCAGAGTACTACTGAGTGCTATTCAGCTTTCATGAGCTGCATGGATAAGGGCAGCAAATAGAACAGTAATCTCAAAAGGACTTGCAATAATCAAAGACAGATAAAATGAAAACAGTGAGAAAATACAGTAGACACCAGTTGTGTGCTACATGATTCAGGGAAAAGGGCATGTCCATCTCAAGGTTACAAATTGCCTTCCTAAACTGACAGCAGAAGAGTGGCAGTTCTATGTGACTTATCCAAAAAACATGGACCAACTGTGTTTTCACATGCAGTAGTATAACCTGTAGATTAACCTGTAGGACCTGTAGACCTGTAGATTAACCTGTAGTTTGAATTATCTGTGAGATGCACAGAATAGAAGAGATTTTTTTTAAAACTCTTTCAGCATTTCTTGGCAGAAAAGCTGTTGCTGTGTAATCCAATACCACTTAAAATAAAGCTTATGGCTGACTCATACTTAAGGTGGCTGGCCAAGGTCTTTATGACGCCATCTGCTGAGTGCAACATACCTTACATTCCAAGCAGTGGAGAATTCAGCAGCAGCAGTGTACATGTGATATCAATCAGTTCTAAGAGATTAAACAAACAAACAAAAAAAAAAGTAGTGATTCACATGCAACATTGGTGTTCTCACTGTACTCGCACAGTGCCTGTCCTTTCTTAAATTCTTTTCTCCACTGGCTCCCTTATTTAGGCTGCCCACCTCTGTAAAGTGTTGCTAAGTCTCATTCCAGAAGAAACGCTGGCTGCGCAGCTATGTAACAGATAATATACTTTCAATTCGGAACTGACCGCCTTGCTTCGGACCGAGGTACTATGACTAATTCAAGAATAAACAAATATTATAGACACTTCTGTTTATGTCCCCTTAAGTACAGCACAGACTGTATACATTACACAAATTTTAACGTTGTCTTAAAAATCAAGAAGGAGGTATGTGATGGCTGGTAACAGGTAAGAGTAATACCATCGTAACCTTGTCTCTCCTTATCCACTGCACCAGTCAAGCAGTCGGATTCCCAAAGCAAAAAGCCTAGCGCATGAGGCTTCTCAACATAAAACACACTAACAGCCTTCAATGTTAAGTTTAATTTCCTTAACCTCTACTCTCAGGAGACAAAGAATCTGCTCAGTTAATCTGTCCCTGCAGCCAAAATTCTTAAATTTACATGGTAATTTTATGATTAAGAATTAGATGACACTATCTTCAAAACCAAACACAATTATCCAGGCTTTTACTGCCAAGAATGTTTGGTCAGATTCTCTACCGCTAATCCTATACTTAAGATACTAAACAGATCACACTAAATTCCATGCAATTTCCAGCAGAGTCGCTGCACTACTTTCTAAACAGAAAAAAAAAAGGAAAAGGGAAAGGGAAAAGGAGGCTGTCTCATGGAACTAAATCTCTTGTTGTTCAGTTAATACGACTAAAATCAAAGTAAAAAAATTCACTGATGGTATAAAAGAATAATGGAGCGTATTAATGCAAAATGCACAGGAAAATGTCATCATGCATCTTTGAAGTGAGACTTTTTCAGAAAAAGAAGTTGTTAGCCAATATTTAAGAAATGGGTCAAAAAGTGGAATACCTTTCTTCTTAATATACTTACAGTGTATTACTGCATGACTAATCATTCATATATGTCCAAAGTAATTTGTGTTTCCCATGATGTTCCCACTTAGAAGAACATGTTATATCATTACGTTACTGTAGTGAAAAAAAACCTCAGTGCGCTGTGCAAATTTTACACTTAGCTGTTATGGTGAAAATACTGTAAAGAATAATAATATATTATATTAATAATATATAATAATTCATAATATAGAAGTTATAAAATTAAAATATAATAATAGATAATAATAATATGCTGCCTAAACATACAGTGAAAATTTTTTGAGTTATCCATTCCAGAATGAATAAAGTACCTAAACACCTACTAAACAGATTAAACATCTATTTAAACAGGTAAATTGCTCAAATGAATTTTCCAGGATTACTCATACATTTAAATTAAGCATCTATTAAGTGTTTCGTTGGCTACTGTTTCAATTTTATACAAAAAACGCCTGAGGAGCAACATTTAACATAACGGCACCAGCTTTATAATGAGAAAAATATGCTACATTGTGAGCTCTGGTTGTTTTGTGTACTTTTTCCATTCTACCCTCTCAAAATATTAGTAGTTATTCCTTTTTTTTAAGATCTCTCAGTTGCAGATATAATGCATATACATAATCAAATTCTCTGGGTATTCCACTATTACTACATAGTGTCACAAACAAGATACACATAGAAAACTTCCTGCCTTTCAAAATGCAATAAGGCAAGAACTAATAATAACTCTTTCAAGGTAATATAAATCTTCCTCTTTACATCAAATTCACAGCATCTACAACATGGCAACTGACAGTTTCTTGTAGGGAAGCATTCAGTGATTACAATCTTTGTTGCTAAATGGAAAGCAAAGCTACACAGAATGTTCCTTTATTTGGACTATTTCATTTTTATCCCTTCAGCCAATCGTCTCTCTAGTTGGTGATTATTAAAACAAAAAACAAACACAAATCACCCCCAAACCTCAAACCTTTAATATTAGCTTTTCCCCAAGACAAAAGTCATATGCATCTAAAACGTGTGTTTAATCTAAACTACTAGCAAACTGCTGGCTTGCTATTTTTAAAGCAAATAATAAAATGTTTGGAGCACCAAATCGAGGCTCATTAACGCTTCTCGTTATGGAACGATACAATGAACTACATCTTCAGTTACTTTTCATATTGCAAAGAGGTCTGTAGGCTGCACCTAAACGCTCCAACGCTTCTGCTCTATCACAGATGTATCTATACAACAGGACAGTGCAACAAAGGAGATCCGTCTGCAGGACCTTTCTCATCTGTCACAGCCGAAAGGTAAGCAGTCAATGAAACCACAAAACGCAGGATAAAAAAAAAAAAAAAAAAAGGGCTGCAGCACCATACTGAGAAAAAGAATAGAATTAGAGTGCAGAGACTCTGAATTAAGACATAAAAAATATTTAGCTTTTGAATGTTTGATTTTTTAACTTTAATAATGCTTTTAGTAATTATTAGGCACTATCAGTGTCCAGCCTACGGCAGACAAGCCGTATTAAATAAAACTTTTTTACAGCCTAGTCTTTCAAATCTGTCATTCAAATACTTTTAAAAAATAATTTTGATAGTCTGCATGACTGTACCTAGAAGGGTATAGTTTGTTTATCCTACTATGTCATGATTCCCAGTTAACATGATTATTCTGGTAACATAAAAGGTCAGTTTAAGAGCGTCAAACTGAGCTGAATTTAAATAGAAGCATATCTACCGTTTTTTGCATTTTCCCACCACAGAAGCTTGGAAAAAATCCACTGAATACTGAATGTTATCAAAGGAAGGAAGCAGAAAAAAGGAAAAACTCAAAACAATACCCAGTTCTTTCAGTTTTATTATCTTTGATATTATCTGTAACAAACAGCAGATGAAGATTTAATGAAGTGTGGATTCTGAGCCAGAGATGTCACAACGATACGATTCTAGTTACCTCTGCAATATCTTTTTCTGCAGAAAAAAATATTTCGGATATGGCACACAAGGGTAGTATCTGCCAGCTAGTTCTTTCTATGACAATAACAAAAACAGCACATATCTTCTAATTATCATTACCAAAGCACTTTCTGTTGGATCGAGTTTAAGGAAAATGTAGCATCATTAAGTCCTCACAGCATAGGGATTCTCTGCTATATCAAAGTTTCATCAATTGCAAAACCCACATGACAGTATGCTTTTAGCTCATTTTCTTTTAAAATACGGCCATATTCAAATTTTTATTTTTGTAGCACACTCAGATGTGCTTTTCAGAGGAACGTTGTAAAAATGGAACTGCAGCTTTACAGAGAGTAAGGATATTCAATTACCTAAGGGAATTAAAAGGGCTCCAACACTTTGGATGGAATATCCCAAGGCTGATGAACCTAGTCTAGTTCGGCAAGAACAGGTACATTCAACGATTCATTACGAGAGCTACCAAGGCAGCTCATGTGCATACAGAATCTGGGCCAAGGCCATTAAGCTGCCATTATGCTGTTCCTCTGCTATAACAATTTATTTCATTTTTTCTTGAGCAACTGGCACTTGTAGATCCTCAACTGAACCACATTAGCAGCCGGCCCATAAGTCTACCTTGAAATTATTTTTTTACATACTAACATTTCCAGTTCCAAAATCAAATTATTTTCATTCTTTCACAGAATAAGGCAAATTAAAAATAAAGTGGCAGTGAAATACATAATTTTGGCACAGAATACTGCATCAAAAAATGAAGATAATTGTACTCATTTCAGACAACCAGACGAAAAACTTGTGATCATACCACAAATAATATACACGCATATATTAAAAAAATGTTGGGGAAAGGATGAAAACATTCTGAAATTAGGATTTCTAAAAGTTTTCAGTTCAGGCTGATGCAAACAATAGCAAGAGAAATTAGTCATGATTCTAGATTCCAAGATACCTTCTTATTCAAGTCTACAAAACAAACCATGACTAATAGATTAAACACCTCTCAGGCTAAACTATCAATGGAAGACTATAAAGCATTTGCATCTTCCAGGATCCTGCCAGGAAGATATCAAATGCCAAATCTGAAAGCAGATGCTTGAATCAGGATCCTGTTTTTCCTCTCTTCTACATTTAAAATCGTTTACAGTAATTCAAACAACAAAAAAGAGTTAACAAGAGACTACGGTTGCAATCACAGGTAGTTACAAGTATCAACAGAATACGCAACTGAGTTTGGCAGCAGTGAAAGTCAAATTTATCTTCCCATTATATTCAGAAAAATACAACTACCTTGCAAAATTTCAGATACGCAGGAGTTATGTCTATGAAAAGAAATGTTGACGAAAATCCTTGAGGATACTACACTCCAAATGTATGAAAAGGTAGCATCTCTTAGCAGACTATACCTGTTTAATGTATGTTAAAAACAATTCTGTAACCCCACCTGAGAAAAATTTCTGCCTTCATTCCCTTCACCTCTATAGTTCAGTTTGTGCTAAAACTCTCTATCAAATGTGAACCTCGTTTAAGGATAAGGCATACTAAATGCTATACACATTACCTTACAAAGAGATTGTCAACATTGTGACATCCTTATTATATTTTGTGGTAGTGACACATAAAAATGTCAGACATGAAAACACTGCAGACCATCTCTTCTCACACAGTTTACATTGACTTTTGTAATTAAAGTAACAAATGAGAAAAGCGTTTCTCTTCAAAAGAGGAAAGAGAAACAACTTTCAACAAATCAGGCAGAAATCGGAACTTCACACCACTCTAGTATTTATTACGTTACACGGTTCCGTTATCTGCATTTTGATGGCAAAGCTTCTGAGAGGCTTTGTCTGGCCAGGGGTAGGGGGAACAAAAGATCTGATAAACAGTTAAAGCATGCTTGCCATTCCAGCTGAATAGGCAGGTGCTGATTGCTGCAGTCATTGTTAGTGTCACTGCAACAACTACCCCAACCTGCATAAACAGAACAGAGTGCCAGGAAATTGGAATTCAGCAGCCTTTTCATTAAATGAGAACTACTAGTCGTCTCCTTCCTCTAAATGCAAGAATGAAACAAACCTCGCCCCAGCGGTTTAAACTTCACCTAGAGGTAAAGAAAGGGTTTTGGCCATATGGCGATTTCTAGGGCAGGACATTTCTGTAACTGTTCAGAATTACACGAAAATTTTCCATGCAGATCTGCAGCATAATCAATACACAGAAGTGTATTGATCTCACAAGGTTCTGTATTCAAGCTCAGATGTGCAAAAAACACTGTATGAAAGAAAATATTCTGATTGTCTTAGCAAGTTTTGTTCTGTAAATGTTAAAATTTGCTTCTGACTACTTATCAGAGTGAACATCATTTCTGTTGCCCATATTAAAAGTTTTATTAAATTCTGTAATTGTATGCATCATAAACTATGAATTTGCAATGAGATCACAATAACTGGTTTCTTTTGGAAACGACTACATCAGCAGAAACTCGGTAGCAGTTATCAAAGAGATCCAGGTCTTATTATGTCTGAATATATATCACTGTATCTATAGAACAAGTAACAAACAGGACTGAGTTGTCTGCGTTAGAAATACACATCCCTTAAGAACAAAGACTTCCAAAGAAGGAAGACTTTCATAATGAGAAAGAATATTCAATAAAATAAATAATGTGAAAAAATAAAGGGACAAATGTAACATTTATGAAGTTCACAAAACACTTTCCCTAGGCAATCACATAAAGGCATGATGTAAACCTTCTCTTGCACAAACCGCATAGGCGAACCCAAGAAAAATATTTCCCTAGGCATAAAGAAAATTCAGACAATCGATAGGTCAGTCATATAAAACACCATATGGAAATACTTCAACTTTCTTAAATTACTTTGTGAATATAGAATCAATTCCAAGTATCAAGACAATTCTCAAGCACTGAGTACGCAGCAGGCCCTGGCAGACCGTACGTTACCAGTAAGATGCGCTCCTCTGTATCATAACCTGGCTTGCAATCAGGTTACAAAGTTCCAATGTATAACTTCTCCCTGCCCACAAGAAAGCAAGCACGCTCATACTCATATTTTGAGCCTTCTCTGCCATTTAATGCCATTCTTTGCAAAATGCTTGAGTCGCGTATCCAAGTGCTTCTAATAAGGAATTGAAGTCAGTTCAGTAACTCCAGGCCCTGCTCTCAGGTAAACTAAAGGAGGCAACATTCATTGCCTTAAGAACGCTCCGCTGCCAAGATTTACTTGAAGACCTCAGTCTTCTTTCTCTATGTTGTCCAGAACATGCAAGATGCTCAAATACACAGCAAGTCTCTAGCAAGTTTTATGTCTACAAATGAATTAAAATCCCCAGAGTAGAACAACATCATCTGACTGTCCCATATACTACATTTCAGTATTGCGAAGTGCACAAATGGCTTTACCCACTTAAATGAGGCAGAAGAGTGAGTATACAAGAGTAAAGCACATGGCATTTATGTCAAGAAAAAGATGTTACCAGCCAGGGCTCTTTTCTTAACCTACACAGACCTCTTCTCTGAAAACCCTTCTACTCAAGATAGCACAGCATGTTAGCTGTATGATGACTAGATTCATATTACCAGTGTTCTTGAATTTACATCAGATGTCTGCCAGTGTTCTATTACTTAAAACGTTACTGTTTAACCTATCACATCCTCAAGACTCTAGAATCCAGCAACTAAGGAGGTTGCCTTTGGTGCAATACCATTTGGCCAATCTTTGCCGCAATCAGCATGACCTAATGGAGGATGGCTGTTAAGCATGTTCCAAGAGGAGAATTAGAACAAAAACGAGCGTAACAGTTTGGTACCTTAAATGCACAGCATTTACATTTTCCAAACTTTTTGAAGAAACACACGCAAAAAAAGCATAAAGACAAATACTTGTTGGTAGAACAACACTGGGCAGTTAGAGTCTCAGTTTTGGTATGTGCATGATGCATGCAAAAAGCTAAATAGCCTGAGATAGACATTTTAAAGTACAATGCACACATCCAGTGTTCTATGCATTACATTAATTTCATGCAAACCGAAAAATTTAAGAGATGGTAACAGCCTCAAGCTAAAATCCTGGTGACTGTGATATGCTAAAGGCCTGAACTATGTGCGTGGTTACTGGGTATTCTTTGATATAAGAGATGGCCCTATTTGTGGGGCATAAAAACAGGAGAAACACTCTGGCAGCTGAAAGGCACTACAAAGAAACCCCAGAAAGAACATGAACAAATACTAGAAACATCAACCTGAGAAGTCTAAAGTAAGAATATTTTTTAGGCTGAGCGCTACTTAGACGAGCCATGAGCTAAGAAACTGCAGTTTCTTAAACTACACTTACCCTTTTTCATTGCTACTTTAACCAGAAAAGAGTATTTTGTAAGCAGTCAAATATATCTGATGTCACACTTGCTTATAATCAGTTTCTTCTCCAAAAGCTGTGTTCCAGCAACTGAGGCTTACAAGTGTTTCCACTTAGCTACTTCAGCTGCCCCACAAACAAGTTTGGTCACTGCCACATGAATTCCTGTTTTTCTTGCAGATCATTGTCTGAACAACCTATGTAAATGTCTCTTCTTCCCAGCTTATCTTCCTCTCAAAAGTATTTGTTTGGGTTTTTTCTGGTTTTGTTTGTTTGTTTCTTTTTAAGATCAAGGTCACTAGTCTACTCCTTACTCTCATATATAATGCTTGCTTCATGAAAGTATCAGCCACTAACTAAAACTAAAAAAATTCCACACTGATCTCTTTTCTCGCCTTGCTCTCATTTGCAAGTACTCAGCAGAATCCTATGCACTCATGAAAAACTTTTCTGATAAACTATTAAGCTGTTTTTCTTTTTACCCACAGAGGAAATTGTAATAAAAGATCTATCAGTTCCTCCTGAGAAAACCTTCTGCAAATGACCCAGAACTTTGCAACATTTTTCATGACATAACTTTCAAAATAAAAAGCATATACAGAAGTTTTTAATGCAAGTATAACACATTAAGAACTGAAAGAAAAAAAAAAAAAAAGAAAAGCTTTACAATTACCAAATTGCTTAGATACATGACTTCTGGTACCTCTAAATCTGAAAAACGTCACACTTGTTGCTTAGATTCATACTTCACCAGAGCTGTCCTCCTGACTCAGGAAAGTAGGACAAAATTCCTTCTTTAAACAGAAACGTTATTTTCCTAAACCACTGAAGGGAAAAATCTTCTCCCTTTAACTATTCCAACTTGGGCAAGAGAGAGTAGATTTTCATTTTCAACAAAGCAGCACCGCAGCACGCTTAGGTCACCATGATATCCTGCACAACAGGTTAAACTGACCTTAAGAAGGGCAAGTGTAGTGTTACAAAAAGTAAAACAGATTCTTATGTGATTCTACATGCACGCTTTGCAACTGAGTAACTTACCATCCTTGTTCAGCCACTGTTTTCTTTGTCTGTAGAGGAGAAGTTTATTGTGGACATACGGCAGAAGAAACTTGACACACCAACTCTCCACACCAAGCTTGTTTTCCACCAGGACTATAGGGCTCCGGTTATACCTGGCTTCAGGGCAGGGTATTAATCCAATTTCATCTCTTCAAAAAGACAAAGAAATACAGTTAAACTTATTTGCAGTATTTATCAATTATTTTTCTCAGCATAACAGAATGCCAGTTCTTCGCATTCCATTGGCCCATGACCGTTTTCCTTGCCTTTATTTAAGGCTGCACTCATTATCCTCAATTCACCCTTGATTCTTACTGGACTGCAGGTGCTATAAAATACATTTTCAAAAAAATCTTCTTCTGTAAAACTCATGAGGTAAATTAATTTGGCAAATAAATGATTCACATGTGTTTTAAAGTATGAATAAAGATTTAAGGAGAATGCCCCCTTTTTTGTATTTTCAGTTTATCGCCCAACTACTTTAACCCAGCTGAAATAACACAAATAATTCTCATTTTGTGATGGAGATGTGATGAAGCTGTAACAAGTGCTACCACAAGGGAAACAGAGCACATTAATTGGTTCAGTCACCGGACTGGTCCAAAGCTATCACACCCGGTGTGTTCAACGACGCAGAGGATTTGCGGCAAATTGCTCTGAAACCAAAGATCACGCAAAAGAAAATCACATTCTTTCATACTGTTAACAACACACAAAGCAAGGTGTGCACTCCCGTATGCACCCGTTTCAGCTCTCACTTTTCCTTTTTCTAAGCAAGGCATCCAGTTAAGTGAAAGATTTGAGTCAGAGAGGCCAGTCTGACTAGACTGCAACTTAATGAGAGGTAACAACATTCTGAGCTTTAACCAAGCCTCTGCCCAGCAGACAATGATGGCCACAGAAATTCATAAAGCAAACAAAGCAGAAGAAACTCAAGCTTTTTAGTGTCAAAGCAACATATTCTTTTTTCATTTTTTCCTCAGCTTTCTCTAATGTGTGTGAATATTGCAAGAGAGGCTTTTAATAGCTTCTTAATACAAGACAGGGACTTAATTATTCACATTCATTGGGACAAAATGCAACGTTATTCTGTACTTTCTACTATGCGTGACTTCACCATCACCTCTTGTTTAGTGGAAAAATTGTGTTGCTGAGGAGGGAGATTATCGGATCTCAGATGCAAAAAAAACAAAACGAAACAAAACAAATCCACACCTGTTGTCACCTCAGATAGAAAGACGATGAATTCTCCACCTTAAATTTTCTTAGTACAAGGTCTACAAATACACTCCAAGTGTCAACCCGATAATCTGAATTTGATTTTATGTTGTTACTGGATAATCTAAAAGGTACTAACTGAATTATCTGTCCTCATTACTAAGCTAATTAAAAGTAAAGTGAAATCATGCGCTTGTTTAAGAACATACCTTCCTGTTTGGAAAACTGATATATTCTGTCAGACTGCAACATACTTCTTAAGCCACAAAAAGCAAGAGTAACTTCAAGTACATACAAACCACTTGGCCCTCTCTCCAAACACATATTAAGACCTTTACCCTTCTCTTGTCATCTGGGAACAGAAAGAAGAAAGCAAACATTTAGCTACTCCATCAATTATAAGCAACCCGTATCAAAGCAAGACCCTCACTTCTGCAGCTCCACTCAGCACAATTTAGGCTTTTCAGAAGGCTAGTCAGATTAGAGCTAAAATGACATTCCAGACTGCTTCTTTCAAGATAGCACCTTATATCCTGAAGTCTGTATTCACTGTTGGCCCAAATTTTCATTTATGAATGTTAAACCCGATCCTTGGACAAACTTTGTCTGCCGTTGTATACAGGGACATACAGGTTCTCAGCTGTAATGAAGACAGTTACCCACAACTTTGCTAATTAATTCTGCTAATTATAGGAAAATTTACCAGTCCATGCTTATACACAGACACCAGAGGTAAACAGGGAAGAGAAGGGGGAAAAAAAACCCCAAAAAGCTATACAGCCACACCTTCACTTCTTTCCAAATATAAGTCTCACTCAGCAGAGCTTGATTTCACAAGACTGCTTTATATATGCCATAATGGTAAACAGTTAGGGTTTTTAACAGAGCTGACAAATCAGTCTGAAATACCCCAATTCATTCAGTAAATCCAAACGGACAGAGGATGTAGACTGCTGGACAATGAAATTTGTGACGATAAACTACTTTCCACATGGAACTGTGTCTAACTACTTAGTTTATCCCAAGATGCAAATCAGGACTTGACTTCAGGCAGATACATTGCCTACAATAATTTGTATTGTTTTTGATTTGCATTGTTTTTGATTGTCTGGGTAGTTCAGAAACCATTTGTTGCATTCATTTCCTGAGAAAGAACAGAATTTTTGATTAAAATATCAGAGGAAGAATAGACTTACCAAAGGTGGAGTGCCTAACTTATGGCTTACCAAAACAATTTATTCAAACCACCACCTATTCTCAACTGGCTGCTCCTGAAGGGCCCTCAGACCTGCGTTAAGGTGCAAATAATGAGGTAGGTTGTTCATTTTTTCAGCCTAATAGCCAAGGCTTGAGAGCACCTGCAGCTTCTCCCTGAACACATACCCAAAACTGTATCTGCAGCAGGTTTGGTATGCAGATACCACTAGTCACACAGTCGGTGCTTGTACGATTATGTGACTGAAACATGCTTAATTGTGTGCAAAAAGCCTCTGATCATGTCACAGAAGATGTGCAAGCCTGTCACATGACCAGTCACAAACCTATTGCAGCATGGAAGATGCCTACATTTAGGTCAAGTGACAGATGCAAGCTGCTCACATAATATTGAAGGAAATAATAACTGACAGCTGCTCTTTGGTATTTTCTGTTACTCGAGGCACCATCTACTGTGAAAATAAGGTTTAATTTCTCTTCCCGGTTTTCTGATACTGCCTCTTGAGTTTTAGAACGGTTTTGGTGTTTTTACTTGCTTTTAGGAAAATAGTGGTAACACAATCACATTCCAAAATCTGCATTAATTATCTGCAGATTTTCAAGTGATCAAGATACCACTCTACTTCACGTTCCTCAAATACATCCTGGAGGCAGCCACAACTAAAAGGAAGATTTTAACTACGGCTATCCCTAGATGAACCAGCTTGTCATGAAGACTGCAGTAGTCCCAGAGCCAACCTGTGTTGAGATCGAGGAAGATGTGCCAGAACACGGAGTTCATAGACCCTGGAGCTGCACGATCCAGACCTTGTTCACAGTTGCAGTCTCAGCCATGGCAAATCAATACTGATAAGCTGTTGCAGCATATGCTTCAAGAGCCCCAGTCTGATGACCTAGTCATTTAATGGCCAACTCCAACTAAACTCTGGCGAACTTTAAACTACTTTAAATTTTTAGAATCCTGATGACACAATAAGTTCCCTCTTTGACAAAAAACGTAATACTATAGGTTGTTAGGGAAGGAGGCATTCCTAGTGGTTATCACGATGGGTCTTCAACTTCTGGTATCCCAACATTAAGGGAGTCAGTTTGTTGTTTCCAGAAGACCTTTAAAATAGCCTTACTTCCCCCCACCAAAAATAAGCAAGAGGATATTAACCAATGGTCAAGAGATGGTTAACATTTGATTGAAGCATAACCAATTGACACGGCTCAAATATTATTCTACTGATAAAGATGACTCGAGCTACATAGTTAAATATTCCCGTAATTCTGAAAATCCTCTAATACTGGAAGACAATCTAGAGCATGGACATTTGAGAGGTTTATATTTTTAATGTAAAGTAAGTCTTATGACAAGACTACACACCTCATGAACTTAAAACACTTGAGAGGAGAGGTAGAAGGGGCCTAAATCCAAACACTGAAACTTTTTTTTCCATTATTGTATAGTGCACCATATAATAAATGAGTTTGCAAGTAATAATCAGTAATTATCTTAGTGAGACAACTAAAATCTCTTCCACAAAGGAAACAGGGAGATATTACTGAAATCCAGAGTACTTTTTGCCACTATTTTTTTCTTAAGAAGCTTTAGCTATTAGTTCTTCTGTCTTTAAAAGATTACTGTTGTTTGCTGTCATACTCATCTTCCTTTAACTCTCAAACTTTTGCTATAATAACAAACTTCTGCATTGGTGAGCCCTATCTCTAAGTATTATATGTAAATTATTTGTACTTAGTATTGGTATATTTAGAAGCACCAATGCATTTCAAACCAGTACTACTAAAGAGTCTCAGAAAAAGTAAATTGGCAAGAAGAATTTCATATTCAGCTACAGTAAGAACGTAAGAAAGTAATTACAGTATTTTTCTTTCTGAGTCTGTAGAAAAGACATTTGTAATTCTACCAGGAGACATGCTGATTCACAGTTTCAAATCTAACAAAATGAAGTGCGGTATTTTTACCACATTAAGAATGTGGTCAATTGAGACAGAAAAAGTGAAGTGAGCCAAGGTGACATTAATAATTTTTGGCAAATCAGAAATGGTGTCCCCTGGTTTTGTACTCAAATGCCAGGCTATCATCTGAGAGATGTCTTTCCAATTACGTACACCAAATTCATATGCTTTACGACAAACAGTCTGTATTTCTGTTTGACTTTATAAGCAAAAGAAAAGTAAAGTTTAAAAACAAAACCAAGAATCCCTCCCCCAACATGCTGTTTTTTCTTTTACAATTGAAAACATTCCCAGTTTCCTGGGACAGTAACGGTATTCTGTAATTTCTGGAACTGTGGCACCATTTCCTAAAGGTGGTTCTCTTGGAAACACAAGTAAGCATTGATCTGCTTACTGCTGGCAATCCACTTAGTTTCAATGGAACAGCTCTCGTAAATGATTTTATCAAGATCTATGCTTGCAGGACGGGGTAAAAACATCTCGCAAAAAATTTCACAACCCTACAAAATTGAAAGCTAGCTTGCTGACTATACTATTCCTCTGAGGAAGATGGAGCTATCAGTGAGACAAGGCAAAATGAACCGTGTATTGTATGTTTAATTAGAAGTAGGCTTGCCTCAAAAAGATGCAAATCCTTGCTCCAAATTTAAATGCAAGCAAAAAATGAGAAACAACAACCTAATATTCTATTTAGCCTAAAATCGTATTTACTTGCTTTTTAGTGATGACAAAAGACTACATCCATTTTAAACCCTAGAAAACTGTGACCCTGCCAGAAGAAAAAGTCCATTCCCTCAGATGTAAAGGGGGCAAATAAACAAAGAACGAAAGACAAGAGACAATAAATGCTACGACCAGAGACAAGAGGAGGGGACAAAAGTAAGAGAACTGAATAGGACATCATGCGCCTGGCAGGCCACGGTTTTCAGTGGAGTCAGGTGCATGCCCCACAGAAGAACTCAAACCTGGTTCTATGGTGCAAACCAGCCACTCAAGAGGGTAGCAACTGTCAGGGACTGCAACTGATCATGACTGCTTTGGTCAACAACAGGAAGAGAACACCTCTCTCAGGTGCAAGAAAATGTCTGGCCAGCAGGGCCGCAACCTAGTGCCCAGGAGGCGTTCATAGTGGAGGGCCTGTATATGTGCTTTACAGAGTATTCCAGCCATGCATAATCCAAATTCAAAACCTCAGTTGAATAATCTAACAGACAGAATTCCCCTATTTTGTCTAACTGAGTGACAAACTAACAGTAGCACATAATTCCTCTCTCTAAGCATGACACAGTGAATCAGTTTCACAGCACACAACTCTTGCAACCTACTTTCATCTTCTACATTGCGTCTGTGAAAGAAATCAGCAACAGCAGCATATTCTTCAAAAACACAAATTCAAAATTTGCTACCAGTGAACAGTTTTTGCAATCGAGTAGGAACTAAAAAGAATCAGGACACTCATTCACAAATTCTGGCTGTTTACAGGGCTTTATGCCTCACAACCTAAAAACGAAACTTCATGGCAAAATGCAGTTCTTTTTTGACAGCCTCCATATGCTATATTTTAAAACCTGGCCACCAACCCAAGCTGCTAGCTACATTTATAGAAACTTAAGGAAATTCATTCCAGTCCTCTCCTTTATGCAAAGTGTTTAATTAAAAAGGACCAGGAAAAATCCCTAAATAATAGCTCAGCACTTCATTTTATAGAACAGATAATAGGCCACCACCTCAGAGACTGCAGCTGTTTTGCCCAACACATAGATACCGTGCCTGTATTACGAAGTTACGATCTGTTATCTGCTATCTCATTCGCCATAACCAATAGGGAGTCTATATGAACAGTTAGGAAGTCACTTCCCCAAACAGTTTATGTCTTCAAATAACAAGTGATGGGAACAAACAAAGAAATAGGGTAGGCACCTAAACGAAGGACTCAGAGCTTGTCAGGAATAGAACTGAAAATAAAATGCAGACTTTCTGACTCCCAGATTGCTAGAAAAACCTGATTCTCAAAGGACAGCACTAACAGTTCCCATTTACACAGTCATCTTGTATGACTCCTTCAAAACAAGCCACAGTGGAAAGCACCCGAATCTTCATAAGAGACAGAGCACAAAGATATAGCAAATTTGATGGTATTACTCAAGAAACTGCACTATTTCTACAAAGATGCAATTCAGTGGGTTTGAGATCTGAGATTTGCTTCCATCACTAGTAATCCTGTGACAAACATACACAGGTTCCCACTGTCTTCAGGGGGACCTTGCACGTTTCATTCACCTACACACAATATCAATCCACTCTCAGCTGCACTATGAATTTAGCAGTGCTAGACCTCAAATTTAAGTAAAGTTCATTTGAAGATTTGTGTTTAAAAAAGATACTCATCTCTTGCAAGTGTTAAAGACATTGCTGATTTCCATGACTAAAAACAGTAAGTACTCACTTTCCTGTTTTATTTATGAATCTTATTTTTACAGTATGATGATGCAACTACTTCAGATCTTTCAAGTGCAATTCTTTAGAAACACCAGCCCTGCTATGGTTTGCACGAAGTACCAATCATGCCAGCATCGAAGAGTTACATAAAATCTCAGATCAAGCGTTTGCTTTTATCCAGAAAAATAAAGACAGCGAAGAGCACATGAGCTATTATCAGCTCGCCCTGTTTAATCACACGCGTTAAGGAAGCCAACGGAAATGAAAAGCAACGTTCATTTAACCCCAGCCCCCGCCAATACACCTTAAATCAGGGCGCAGGCTGAAGCGCGTTCGTCGGAGAGAAAGCGTGACCAGCTCCTCCCGC